CAGCTGGCCTGGAACTTGCTATGTAGACATCCCAGGTGGCCTCCATCTCACAGCCACCTGCCTGCCTCTGCCTCCCCTGGGATTAAAGTCCTGCTGCACCTTGCTAGGCTTTCTTTAGAATACTTTTCAAAATATGTTATGTTATGTTGTGAAAGCCATTCTGTAAAATATATGTTTCTGTTTTGACGACCTTATAGATTTCACTGGAAAGATGAAACAGCCACACTTAGCCCACTGTCCTTAAGAGCATTTGTTTATTTCTAAAGCCTTACAAAATCACAAATATAACATAACTAATTTAATTCCCTAAACCAATTATTTTTCTATTCACGAAAATAAAAGGCAACTAATTTCTATTTTCTACAAAATATTTCAGTAATTACAATACAATCAAACTTTAATTTTCATAAAAGACCAAAAAGGGGACCTCAGCAGGTAAAGGTAAAGGTACTTGCCACCAAACCTGATAACCTGAGTTCAATCCCCAGGATTGACAGGGTGGAAGGAGAGAATCAACTATCATGAGATGTCCTGACCTTGTGCATGCACATGCACACACACGCAAATAAATAAATGTAATTAACTTTTTAAAAAAGAATACAACGCCAAAGCCTTGCCTCTACTTAGAAATAACAGAATTCCAAAAATGGAAGACTGGTGACAAGTAGAACTAGATGACTCAGAATGCACTGAAATCTCGCATACTTAATGACGTGTGTGACAACAATGGCTACGCTATTTCTAACTACATTCGCTCACCAAGAATCTGTGGAGTACAACTTGGGTTTTCTCCCAAGTTTCCACTGCATGAAATCTGGCTCATGAACCAACTCCCAATTCTGATCCTCTTTGGGACTAATAAATTGGCATTCTGATTTATGGATAATCTCCTGTGTATTGAATAATGTGAGCTTCTCCTTAGAGATAAATCACCTCCAAGCATGCTGATCATTATTAGTTCTGGTTTACAAAGCAAACCATTAAACCCTGAATATACAACACCAAAATCTTACGACTTGGTAAAACCCTTCAAGTGTCTCACTGGCTTTGTGGGAGTGGCACTTAATGCTGCTCACCTCTTCAAAGGGCAGTGGCAACCATAGAACACAGGTACTTATATGCTTAGTGTTGTTCTGAGACCCGCATGCTAATGCGACCTCAATACGTAAGTAGGAATAAATAAAGGTCAACAGTCTTCAAGGGGGTGGGGGATCTTTTTTTCTTTGTTTTTGTTCTCTGTAGTACTGGAGACCAAACTCAAGACATTGTGTAATACTCCACAGACATTCTAAAACATTCTGCCACAGAGCCACAGCCAGTTTAACATCATTTTGCTTTTGAGACAGGGTCTTAAGTAGCCCTGATTAGCCTTAAACTCACGATATGTAGTCAAGGAGTCCCTGAACTCCGATCTTCCTGCCTCTACCTCCCAGGGTATCTCAACCATGCCTGGGGCCGAGCCCAATATTTTAACATTAGGAAGAATTACTACTGATAACACCAGTAGATCATAACAGGAAATTATCTATTGCCAAATTATTTTAAATATTTTTAAAACCATCAATTTTTTGTGATTTTTTTATTACATATGTTCTTTGACAATTTCCTGCATATGTACAGTGCATTCTGACTACTGCCTCCTCCATGTCCTCATCAGGTTAGCTGTCCCTCCTCCCTAGAAACTCATACTCACTTCCTTCTGTTTTGTTTTGTGAGCCATTGAGTTTAACTAGGGCCATCTGTGATCATGGGATTGGAAGTATCCAGTGAAGTCTGGTAGATCAGCAGTAGATACACAAGTCAATGGAAAAGGCCACGTATTTAAATTAAACATTTTTAGTTCATAATGTGAAACTTTTAATTTTGTGGGAAATGTGCTAGCAAGTAGTTTTCTAAAGATGTCAGCTGCTTCTGCTTCTTCTATGAGTGGAAATAAGAGTTTTCTATTGACTGAAGTTTACAATTCTTCATAGAAATTATGCAGTGAAACAAACATTTACTGGAAAATTTTATCGGAAATTTCCCAAGTTTGCATACTACCGAGTTAGAAATTAGCCTCCTGGGCCCAGCGGTGACACACACCCTTAATCCCAATACTTGGGAGGCAGAGGCAGAGGCAGTCAGATCTCTGTGAGTTCCAGGCCAGCCTGGTCTACATAGTGAGTTCCAGACCATCTGGGGCTACAAGGAGACCCTGTCTCAAAAAGACTAAAAAGAAAGGAAGAAAAAGAAATTAGCCCCCTAATTGCTACTACCTATGTTATTTTTGCTTAATGGTAAGTATGTATTTTATTTGGAAAGTAAAAAATAATGGCCATATTTCCTGGACATATTCTTCAGAAAATGAACTGACATAAATGTGATATATTTATTTTTTTAAATTTTGCAGTGCTGGGGATTAGACCCAGCAGCCATTGGTTGCCAATACTTCAGCAAGTAGGGTTAGGGTTATTTACTCACTTCTCCCATAGCTGTGCTGGTATTTTGTCGGGCTTGAGCTTACATGGAACTTGTGAATGCTGTCACCATTGCCTTGAGTTCACTTTACATCTCTATTGCTTTTGCCTGTCTTGCATCCATACTGTAGAATAAACTACAGACTGACAGCAGGGATTCCTGCAGGGTCAGGAATTGGGCCACAGCTCCCAGAATGAGTTGGGCCTCAGAAATCTTTTCTGAGCAAGCATTCTACCATTGAGCCACACCCCCAGTCCAGAATCCTGTTTTCTAGATGGTGGGCATGCTAGACAATCTGTACTGCTGAGTCAAATCCCTAGGCCCCTGAAATGTGATTTTTAAGTTAGCACATTTTAATAAAGTTACATTTCCTATACTTTCTTTATAAAAACATAAATATATGTTGTGTGTGTATGTGTATGTGTGCACCATAGCACATGTGTGGAGGTCAGAGGATGATTGGTGGGAGTCAGTTCTCTCCATGTGGGTCCTAACAACCAAGCTCAGGTCATCGGGCTTGTGCCTCTACCTGCTGAGCCATCTCACACGTCCTATACTTTAACATGCCACTGTTACCTTAAGGAAATGCTATTTCACTTGTCCATAAGCACCACTTTGGCAGTGCTTTTTTATTGGAATATGTTAGTAATTCCCAAATGTATTTTCCTTGGCAACATCCTTCAACAAATAAGACTGTCTTGCAAACAATTTATTTTCTTCTTTCCTTTCTTTCTTTCTTTCTTTCTTTCTTTCTTTCTTTCTTTCTTTTTTTTTTCAGCTAAATAAAAACAACTATACTATAGACTGGAACTTGCTATGTAGACCAGGCTGGCCTAAAAGTTGTGATCTTCCTGCCTCAGCGTCCTAAGTACTGGAATTACAGGAATGTGCCACCATGCCTGGCTTATAAACAATTCTGATAGATTTTTATGAGGAACAAATTGTGTCTTCTTTTTAAAACATTTAAAAAATAAGTACCTCCTTTGTTATAGTTGAAGACCCCAGCATTTTACTGGAAATGCCAAACACTGGCTCTATGAATGCCAAATTCAAAAGAATGAACACTCACGGATTTAAATATTTTACTCTGGCTAATAAGTAAACTATTACAAATAAATTGGAATGAAATATGACATTATTATGATTGTCTGTCTTCAAGTAAATCTTTACTTAATAACCAAACTACAGGAGTCCTGCCAGAAAAAGAAAAGACTTGCATGTAACTTTCATAACAACATACAAAGTGTGACATTACAAAATCAGTTACCTGTGTTTATTTACTAAATTCACCAAACTTGAAAGACTATTAAGAAGTAAAACAGAAAACAGGCAAGAAATAAGAACTCTTTTTTTTTCGTCTTTTTTTGAGACAGGGTCTCCCTGTAGCCCCAGCTGGCCTAGAACTCACTATATAAGACCGGACTGGCCTCGTACTCATAGAGATCTGCCTGCCTCTGGCTCTGCCTCTGTCTCCTGAGTGCTGGGATTAAAGGCAAGCACCATAATGCCCAGCTTAAGAACTCTTTTTTTTTTTTTTTTTTTTTTGGTCTTTTTGAGATAGGGTCTCCCTGTAGCCCCAGCTGTCCTGGAACTCACTATGTAGACCAGGCTGGCCTCAGATGAAAAAAAAATGACATTACTAGAAATCCATTTAAACAATGTGAAAATAGCGTTACATAAGAGCACTGAGCTCAAGACAAGCCCGAGTTAGCTGGTAAATTCAAGGTCAACCTAGGTTACACAGCAAGACTCTGTCCCAAAACCTCAAAGGCTGGAGAGGCAACTCTGTGACAGACGCTTACCTAACATGCACATGGTCCCTGGGTTTGATCTCTAGCATCACAAAAAAACAAAAAACAAACAAAAAACCTGATCAGGGTACACAGGAATGTAAAAATACTGAAGGTAGAATCCCTAGAATAAAGATTGTCGAGAACATTCCAATTCTAGACAGCCTCTAGTAAAAAGTTCTCAAGCTTTATTTCACTTTTAGGTCACCAGGAATCACATAACAATATGCTAGAAGTTAGTGCAAACCACTAGTCTATTTTTCTTCTTTCTTTTTTTTTATGTGTATGAGTGTATAGCCTGCATGTATGTAAGTGCACCCATGTCATGTAATGCCCAAGGAGGTCAGAAGAGGGCGTCGGATCCCCTGGAACTAGAGTTACAGACAGTTAGCCACCATGTGGGTGCTGGGATTCAAATCCCGGTCCTCTGTAAGAGCAGTCAGTGCTCTTAACCACTGAGCCATCTCTCTAGCTCCCCATTAATCTATTTGTTCAAACTCAACTAGAAAGCATTTGTGCAAACTAAACTGGAAGTTACTTAAGACTGTCAAAAGCATGGTGCCTTTTACAGGCAAATAGCACTTGCTCAGCTGGATAACATAAACTATCACTAAAGTTTTAAAGGCATTTTCATTCCCTTCCTTAAGCTGGATTCTAAACGCACCAGTCCAAAAGTAGAATTTAGCATTAGAAAAACTGTAAAGTGAATTCTAAAAAAAACACCTTAGTGAAGTTTTTAAAAGTTTACTTTACTTTTGAAAGCATCCGTTGCTCCAGGTGCATGGTTTTTGTCTGGATGAAACTTCAAAGCAAGCTTTCTGTAAGCTTTTTTCAAATCTTCATCACCAGCATCTTTTGTAACTCCAAGTACTTCATAGTAATTTTTACATTTGTTTATGCTGTGAACAAGAAAGTGTGTTATGATGTAAATTCCAAAGAACATTATGTAAACTTCTACTAGAATAGCATAAGGAACTGTCTGTGGCTTGTGGAGACGTATCCCTTCAAGACTTAGTTTGCAGCATTATCTATTCTGGCTATAGACCATTCCTCCAACCTCTTCCCAGTCTAAGGAGAATCAGCCATGAGACTGTCCACAGTACAACTACGGAGAAGGAAGCCCATGATAATTACAGATGAAAGGCACTGTACTCATTCCGACTAAAATGGAAAAGTAAGAACAATTTTATAGTACTCTTCAATAAATTTAAAAACAATTCTGAACTCCTCCAAAGTATATCACAATTAAGAATGAATAAACGTAAGAATTTTGTTACTGTATAATTACAAACACAAAAGCAAGTTTAGTACATGGAAAATACTTGCAGTATCCTATGGCTAAGAAAAGTTAGTTCAGCACCATTACATTAATGAGAACTTACTCTGAAAATATCATGGGTTCTTTGTTAATAAAATATTAAAAATTAACAATGGGAATAAAAACTATTTATAATATCCAATTACAAATACTAATCTGTATATTCCTAGAGATTTCTTAATACAGGTTTTTACTTTAAAAGACAGAACACACTGAAGTATGGAGTACTTAAAAGTATATTAGGAATGGAAAAGAAACCCTCTGAATGAATTAGAGAACAGTAAGGCCTTTTGGATGCCAGCATTCTCCTGCAACCAAAATAACCTGACACCACAAAAACCAGGGTAGGGCTGAGTGGAGCTCAATGGCAGAGCATCCACAGCATACAGGCTGAGGCTCTGTGCTCAATCGGGAAGGAAAAAGTCTTCTGTCTGTATAGTGTTTTGCGACTTTAGTTGCATTCCACGCTGGAGTCTTGACAACATGACAGGCAAGCCAACCTAAGGCATATTGTCACTAGAAGCTAAAAAGGGGGACGTGGGAGGAGGGAGAGAGAGAAAGAAAGAGGAGGAGGGCAGGAGAAAGCTGCAAACACCCATTTTTGTTGTTTGTTCTCTTTTACTACTGAAGTTGGCTATCACAGTGCTTGGCACACGCCAGATTCTCAGTAGACATTTTTTAAGCGGATGAGCCTTGGCTCTCCTTTTATAATGGAACTATTTGTTACGAATCATATGTATGGGGAAGAAAGAAGAGAAGGCTTATGATTATAGAAATTCCAGAATTGTCCCATAATCACATTAACAAAAATCCGTCAGCTGACCCTCACTGAACATCAGCTACACCCCAGTGAACTGAGCACCTGAGACAGCGCAGGTGCAAAGGAAACGCTGCCTGGAGAGTCATGCTCCTTGATATGCTAGAAACTGTAACAGGACAAGGCACCTCAGGCATCTACTGTGCCAGGCACAGCCCCAGCAAGTACCATAAAGCTCTGAGAAGTGAGAGCTCTTTAAAAGCTGACTTGACTTCTGTTAAAGGCAAAAACCTGGCCTCAAAGGAGGTGAAGCTGCTGCAGAATCTTCATTTATCCTAGCTGTGTGAACACCGCAACACTCTGCTGCCAAAATGTTATACCTGGTTACAGACTGCTGCCTTCTGCCCAGTGCAAATCCTACAATCTAATATTTATTTTTTAGATGATGATGAATTCCAAATTCTAAACTACATCTGATCACAGAAAAATTCACATAAAGAACTGTTTTTATTTTGCTAATTATTTTAAAGACAGTATCTTGTTTATTCTTCACTAGGTAGCTATTTCTATTTCACAAATGAGGACTTGAAAAGTTAAACAAATTGCCAAATGTCACATACCCAAGTAATAGAGTATTGTTCACATTTCTGCTAGGTACTGTTTCAAATGCTATCAATGGTAAAAAGTAAATAGTAAAAAAACAACAAAAAAATATCCCTAAGCACATTAAATTTACAGTTGGGAGGGAGTAAGCAGTAAACAGATGTATGGTGATAGACAAATTCAGAAAAATAAAGTGGCAAGAATGATAGAAAGCAGAGGTAGGCCTGCTAGTTTAAATAGGGCGACCAGGGAAGCCCAGCAAGTAGGGCTTCAAATCTTGGTTTCTCTGGCTGAAAAACGTGGTGTCCAAGCACTCTGAGGGATGGTCATCACTGCCAATCTTTGACTGTCAGTCCTCAGGCAGACGCTCCTGGATGCTGGGGAAGGTGCTTGCTGCCCTGAATGCTCTTTTCTGCCTCCTGTTTTATAAACTAGTTTTCTCTAGCTTCTTCAGACCCAAGCTTAGCTCTTTATTTTACCAAGAATTCAAATTCCTGGGCCTGGAGGTCCTCCTCTTACATTCTTCTAAGGCCTCTAAATTTAGTCTTATCCTGACAGTCAGCACACTAATATTGCCTTGTTCTCACTTGACTAATCTTCTAGATTAGAGAATCTTGGAAAGCAGGTATGCTGCAGGAGAAACACAGTAGAGAAAGGACTAAACTACAATACGGTAAACACCACCCAAATATAAAAAAGAAAAAAAGGCAGCAATAAAGTAACCATTGGCAATCCTAAAGTCATTACTATTTGATCTGAAAGTTATGCTTACTTTTGTTCCAAATTAACACTCTAAAATCATTTTTGCTTCCATTTCCTGAGTATAGACTTGCAGGTAATGGAAAACAGCAGCCTGTGAGAGGACTAAGTGTCAAGAAGGTAACTAGAATCCTCGTGATGACACAGAAAGAATAAAAGCTAGACAAGAACACAACCAGCTCACTAATTCTACACTGTATTCAGCTCTACCAAATCTTTCTGCTCTGAAATTTCCACAATGTATTAGAGAAAATGTCTTGAGAAGCTAGCAGAGCCATGAAGTCGTCAACTACAGCAGTAATAATAACAGACTGGCTGAAGATTATTCTGGTTAGCTCCCTGTTGGTGTGATAAACACCACGACCAAAGGCAACTCAGGGAGGAAAGGGTTTATTTCAGCTGACAAATCCAGGTGACAGTGCCCAGAGGAAGCCACGGCAGGAATTCAGAACCTGAAGGAAGGAACTGAAGCAAAAACCACAGAGGAGTGCTATTTGCAGCTCGTTCACCCAGGCTGGTCCTCAGTCAGCAACCCCACCCCCTTTTTGAGACAAGGTCTCATTATGTAACCCTGGCTGGCCTGGAACTCCCTATGTAGACCATGCTGATTTTGAACTCATAGGGATCACCAGCCTCTGCCACCTGAGTGCTGGGATTAAAGGCAAAGGCGGGTGTGAGCTTCAGTCATCTGCTTTCTTACACACCCCAGGGCCACCTGCCCAGGGCCACACTGCTCACAGTGGTCTAGGCCCTCCCACAATACTTCCTAGTCAAGACAATTTCCTACTGACACAGCCACAAGTCATCTGATCTGTCTATCCCTCAACTGAGACTCCCCCTTCCCAACTGAACATTGGTTGTGTCTAGTGAACAACAGAGCTATGCAGGATAGTTACATACTTCAAGTAACACCTTCAGCTACTTTTTCCAATCAAATGAGAAGTTACTTGAATTCAGACTGTTGTCAATCAGCTCTTTTCTTGTTACTTTTCTCCTTGCTATGATACCTGACAGAAGCAACTTAAGGAACCAAGCATTTACTTTGGTGGAGTGGAAGTCTATCACAGCAGGAAGGTCAAGCTGATCATGCTGCATGTAGACAGGAGAGAGAGCAGAGATCAAAGAATGCTCGATAGAACTTAATTTTCTCCTTTTCAGGCAGTTTAGCCCATGGAATGGTGCTACCTAGATTTATAGCAGGGCTACCTCAATTAACCTAATCTACAGAATAACTTGCTTAGAGTTGGTTTGCCCAGAGACTTGTCTCTGAGGTGATTCTTGATCCTGTCATGTCAGCAACTAATAAAAGCAACTGTCAAATGTTTAATTTGTTCCTTTCTGAAAGAGTCAAACCTTCTGTAGCCTTAACAACAAATTTTAAAAATTTTCAAGGAGGCCGGTAATTTATACACATGTACCGCCCCCACCCCAGCCCCATGCTGCCCTAGATCTCTGCCAGGAAGGCGATAAACAGATATATCCCCTCAACTTTGGGCTAGAACCACGAACCAAAATAAATCTCTTTTCTGTATAACTCTGTAAGGGGGGAGAGGCAGCCAATTACCTATTTTGGAAGAGAATATTTATAACAAGGCCCAAAAGACTTGTTTGGATCTCAACAATGAGAATTTATGTTTGTGCCACCGTTTACATCTCCTTTTATATGACTGAATGACCAGGGGCAGGAGGAAAAGTCACCTTTCAATTCTCTCTTGTAAGATGTGTTACAGATGCTTATTTAAAGAGATTCCAGAGGCTAAGGATATGGCTCAGTTGGTAGAGTGTTTGTCTAACATGAATGAAGCCTTAGTTCCAATCCCCAACACCTAGGTGTGATTATGGAGGTATAGGCAAGAAGATCAGAAAATCAAGGTTATCCTCAGCTACACAGAGAGTTCAAGGCCAGCCTGGGATACAACAGACCTTGCTGTGTAGACCAGGCTACTCACAGAGATCCACCTGCCTCTGCCTCCCGAGTGCTGGGATTAAAGGCCTGTGCCACCATGCCTGGCTGTGAAACACTTATCTCTGAGACAAGGCAACAATTCTTTTCATGAGTTTGGCAACTGTAATTTATCTTCCTTTAATTTAGAGAACTGAAGCTTAAAACAAATAAACCAACCAACCAAAAAGACAAAGCCAGGCACTGTGGCCTAACACTTGTGAACTCAGCACCCTAGATGGAGGCTGAAGCAGGAGGACCATGAGTTCAAGGTTGGTCTAGGCTATATAGCAAGACTGTCTGAAAAAAAAAAAAAAAAAAAAAGGGAAGGGAGACTGAAGTTGAAATCAAATCTGAAATTCAAATGTTTATAGTTCAAATGATTTAACAGTTATACAGAAATGTTCCTAGGTGATAAATATAATAGCTCAGTAAGTGATTGCATGCTGGGTTTTGCTTTCTGTTTTTTTTTTAAATACAGGATGCTCTTTTTTCATTGACTTCATAGTCTCTTTGACTTTTAACATGTATTCCAACTCAACCACAGCACATTTTAGTTTCACAGCATATTCATCTGCTAAGTTGCACAACTTTTCTTCAGTGTTACTCTAAGAAAGTACTTATGCAATGGAGGCAATATTATTGCATGGCTTCTCCCTATCGAGCCAAGTTGTTACTGAGCAACTTGTTTGTATAATCATCTTCTCTATCAGGACAGTGTACTTTCTTGAGAAAAATCCCTTGTGTATAAGCAAAACAAAAACAAAAAGCACAAGGTTTAAGTTTTTGCCATTGATCTGCTCCCTCACTAAGGCCACATGCTTACAAAGGCTACTATGAATAAGTGTAACATAATTCAGCTATGCAACTTGGATATGGGGTAATGTCTTATATATTTTGAATGACTTACGGATTCTCTTAAAAGAATGTTCCTGTCATAATTAGTCCCAGAAGGAGATATGGATGTATGTGTACAGACACATAGATATATATTTATAATTATATACACCTAATTTAAAAGACAGTAAAATTGGCTTAGAGACTCAATCTCTAGTACATCTTTGTTTCTAAACTAATTCTTTTACTCATGAGCAGTTGTGATTTTAAATATGGCTGGGCCCTCAGTCAATGCTAAATCAGCATTCCAGTCCTTTGCTTTTCTCCTTTGTAAATACTCACACTTTTGCTATTCTCCTCAAGCTTTCAACCTCATCTAACAGTTTTACTTCCAATTTCCAGAGAAAACAGAAGCCAACAGACAGATGCTCTCTCAATATTTTACATGTCTCCATCTGTCCATTCTCAAGATGTCCCATGTGTGCCCCAAGCACCACCACCACCATGAACACACTGCCTACCAGGTCTTCTGGGCTTTGTTGAAACACATATGGACGCGCAAGTACACGCGCACACACACAGACACGCACACACTCAATGCTAAAACAAAGGTATTGCTTTCCCTTATTCAGTTCCATTGTACCTTGGTTTCCTCTCTTTCTCATCACAGGTAGAGAAAAGAAAATGAAGAAATATGTTTTAAAAATAACACCAGATTTAGAAGATTATCATTGTCCAAAACTTACAACTTCAGTTTTTGGTTTGTTTTTTGTTTTCGGGTGGGGTGTCTTTTTGAAACAGGGTCTTCCTGTAGCCCCAGCTGGCCTGGAACTCACTATGTAGATAAGGCTGGGCTAGAACTCAGAGATTCACCTGGCTCTGCCTCCCGAGTGACAACTGTAGTTTTATTTCTTTGTTGCTGGTGAAACTTCCAAGTATATAGGGAATTCTATTCTAGGAAAAGAAAATTTCACAAAAATCATATCCAACTACCTCTGAGGTCCTTCATCAAGAATGTTCTTCTAACATAAAGTAATGCCTATAGGAAAGCACAGCTTGTTCTAGGATGCAATTTCCAGGAATACACTTTTCCATACTGCTTCCTTAAAGCTTTTCCTAAAAGAAGTCTAAAAGCAAGCACCCAACTCACTCAGACACCTCTTGGTGCAGTGCTCCACTTACACTAATGGTCAGTGGCATTATTTATACCATTCATACAAATCAACACCCTCTGTGGTGTTTACAACTAGAGAATCTATTTCCCTTTTCGTGATAACATTCAGAGAAAATGACACAATCAAGCTTCAGCATTTACAGATAAAGAGAAAAAAAGCAAGATAAACTACATTGACATTAGATCCAACATACGACAAGTCACTTTCCTGATAGATAAAATCTGAGTCTTGAAATATGGCACTACAAATTATAGTGAAGAAGGCAGTGAGAACAGAGGAAAATGGAGTGAGAAAAGAAGACTTTAAAGGACAAGAAAGGCCTACTCTGCCTGGTTTAAGCACTATCTGCTTACTTTGGTTCACTACACCACAGAATTGACTTTCCCTGAGAACACCCTGATTAGTCACATTCAGAGAACAGAGACTATCATCTTTACACTTTAGTTTCTCAGAAGAGCAACATCAGCACAATTTCCTTAAGTTACAGCAAGAAGCAAGCACTCTAAAGCATTTCACACGTAAAGCGTTTCATTTTCACAGAAACCCTTTTCTTATTTACAAAATTAGTAAACCCCAAATTTCAAAAAACTGAGTTTACAGTTGTTCAGCTGCACCCAATTCTGCTTCAGGTAGGAGTGTATCATGACAAGCCTTTCACTAGTAAACTAATTTTAAAAGGAGAGGGCATTATGGTGTTTGCATATATACAAAGACAGCTTAGCAAAAAAACATAAATAGAAAAGTTCTTAAGTAGGAAATTTAAATGTGCCATTACCCTTAATTTTCCCCATTTGATATTCTCCCATTTTTATGTATATATTATATTCCAATAAACAATTCACTCTCTTTCAAGTCATGGTCTAAATGATACAGAGAAACAAAGTTAGAGGGCCAAGAAAGTAAAAGGTCACAAATGGCCAAAACTCAGAGAATAAGAGTTTGTAGAATGTGAGTCCTTGGATAGGACTCCTATACAAAAATCCACCCACCCAGGGCTCAGGGACCATTGCGGAAGAAGGGGCAGAAAGATTCTAAGAGCCAGGGAGGAGGTGCATGACCATATGGAAATAGTCCTACAGGCTCCTGGCACTGTTCTCATACAAACTTACAACAATGGTGTCAACAAGGACGAGACCCATGCAAACTTAAGCAGACAAAAACCTAACACAGAACTGTGGAAATGGAAAGCAGATCCCAATCGTAGTCAAAGAAGTTTTGATACTTTTGGCTGAGGAAGAGGTGATCTTCTTAAAGGAAGAGACTCTAGATAGGCTGACTAGATTCCAGTGGATGAACATCTGGGGACACTAGCTTTACATGATAGGGCTTAACACAAATGACAGAATCTATGAATTCCAGTGGGAGAGTACCAAAGGGGAAAGGGGTATAAAGATGATTTTCTGTATGAAATACACAAGAATTCAATAAAAAATGTTTTTAAAAGACTCAAAGTTAAAATCATTTTTCTTATAAAAATTATTCTGAAGAATCTTTGTTGACTTACAGTTAATTTGGAAAATGAAACCCTCTGTATGATTACCATTGTAGAGGCTGATTTTACAAAGAATATTAAGCACAGGAGCACCCAGTTAATTCCTCAGGATCTGTTCTATTAAACTGTGCTTCAAAAACTTTTTTTTAGGTATTGTTTTTTTTTTTTAATATTTTATTATCTCCATTTTTATGTGTATGAGTGTTATACCTGCATGTAGGTAAGTACATCTGTGTTGTGCAATGCCTGTGGAGGACAAAAGAGGCTGTCAGATCCCCTGGAACTGGAGTTAAGGACAGTTGTTAGCTGCCATGTGGGTGCTGGGATTCGAACCTGGGTCTTCTGCAAGAACAGCCAGTGTTCTAAACCTCTGAGCCATCTCACCAGCCCCTTTTTTAAAGTATTGTACTATCAATAAGTTCCGTCGGCATCAGTGTTAAAGGAGATACAATTCATTCTCATTCCTACCTGAGAACTCCATCTACTTGGTCTTTGGTATAGACTTTTCCACCTTCTCCACCACTGGAGGTACTGTCCTTCGTACAGTTAGGCTTGCTCTGATCACCGCTTGATGGTTTTCGGCAATGAGTGCTGTTCCCAGCAGTGCTTCCGTTTTTCATAATTATTTCCAGTAGTGCTGTGGAAAGACAGATAAAATATACTGCACTCATTTACATCGAGATGCATACACTGAATCTTGAGGGAAAAAAAAGCAAACTGCAAAGTATCCTCCAAAAAATTTTGACATAGGCCTTTTCCCTTCCTCTTCCCCTTTTTTGAGACAGTATCTTTCTATGTAGTTGAGGGTGGCCTAGAACTATATAGACCAGGTTGACCTTGAACTTTGAATTCTGCCTTACTGGGATTATACTGCCAGTGCTGGGATTATAGGCATGATCCACCAAATCCAGGCTCCATAAGTTTTTATAAATAAGCATTTTTTAGTATATAACTATTCATAGAACATTAACTACCATTTGTAAAGACATAAAGCTAGTAACTTGAAATAACTATCATTTGATTGTTTATGACATACTTGTTATATCATAGTGAAACTGCAAAATAATTTCCTCTGAAAATAGTCTTTAAAAATAGCCAATGAGATTATCTACAAAAAACCCCAGAAATTAGACTTCCTGTTTATTTTCCAACGGCAACCAAAAAAAGCTAAAAGAAACTGGAATACTACTGTCTTTAAGTGAAAAAAAAATTGTCAACTTGAGCTGGACATTAATTTTCCTTAAAAAACATTTTTAAGGGCCTGGAAAGAAGGCTCAGTGGTTAAGAGCACTTACTGCTCTTGCAGGAGACCAAGATTAGGTTCCCAGCTTCCACATCAAGTAACTCACAACCACATATACAAGAGGATTCAATGTCTTCTTCTGGCTTCTGTCGGTACACAAATACATGTGGTGCACATAAGTGCACACAGGCACAGGCACACACAGGCACACACATGCACACACACATGCACACACATAAATAAAAAATATTTTAAAAAATTTTAAACAAAAAGAGAAAATGTATCACTAAAGATTTGCACTAAAGAAGGTATGGAGAGATGTTTTGGTGGTCAGGAGCACTAGAGGACCTGGTTTGCTTCCCACCACATGATGGCTAACACGGTCTGTAACTCCAGTTCCAGGAGATCTGATGCCCTCTTCTGGCCTGTGTGGGCATTACATAACACAGGTGTACTTATACGCATGCAAAACACTCATACACATAAAATAAAATTAAATAAAGAACTAAATTTTTTAATAATATTTTATTTATTATTTTTATTTTATGTGTATGTGTGCATTACTTGCATGTAAAGTGCATCCGTGTTGTGCAGTACCCACGGAGGACAGAAGAGGCTGTCAGATACCCTGGAACTGAAGTTACAGACAGGTGTTAGCTGCCATGTGGGTGCTGGGATTTGAACCCAGGTCTTCTGCAAGAACAACCAGTGTTCCTAACTGCTGAGACACCTCTCCAGCCCCAGAAATAAATTTTTAAAAAAGATTTGTCCTAAAGAAAAGAATAATGGGGGCTGCAGAGTTGACTCAGTGGTTAGGAGCACTGGCTGCTCTTGCAGAGGACCCAGATTCAAATCCCAGCACCCATACATGGTTAACAACCATCCATAACTCCAGTTACAGGGCATCTGATGCCCTTTTCTGTTCCCCACGGGTACATGCACAACACAGGTGCACTTATATACATGCAGGCATAACATTCATACATATAAAAAAAGAAAGAAGAACGTGTACATTTCAGACAGAAGGAAAATGAGTCCACAGGGGCAGATGTGCAAACAAGAATGGTGATCCATCCCACTGCGATGGTGACAAGCACATGTAAGTGCAAACATTGAGTATACAAAATAGTAACAATATCTAGAATTTACTTTAAAATAATCTAGGGGAACAGAAGCATAAAAGGAGGAATAGAATGAATTATGAAGAAGGTTGTTCATACAGTGGTTAAAGAAGGATGCGTGATGACTGATTATACTGTTTCTTTCTGTCTGTGTATGTTTAAAATTTTCCATAAAAACTAAAACTAAACAGTAAACAGCATTATCAAAGGGATAAAAGAGAAAAATTCATCATGATGGTAGATTTTTTAACATATTAACTGATAGAAATCATTAAGAATAAGGATGATATAAACATCTAAAATTTATCCAGCTTGATCTAAGTGTTGCTACATCCAACCAATGGAAAAAAAATTGTTTTTGAGTCTCATGTAGCACAGGCTGGTTTCAAACTTGTTGTGCATCCAAGGATGACTTTGAACTTCTGATCTTCCTGCCTCTATGTCCCAGGGTTCAGATTATACTCATGTGCTACCATACCCAGTTTACCCTGTGCTGGGGATGGAACCCAGGGTTTCTACCTTCTAGGCAAGCACTGAACCAATTTACAGACTGAGACAGGAACCCAGCCCTCCTTTTTTTTTTTTTTTTTTTTGGTCCTTAACTGTCCCCAGTTCCAGGGGATCTGATATCCTCTTCTGGCCTCCCCAGGCATTGTACAACACAGGTACACTTATACATGCAGGCAAAACTCATACACACAAATGAAAATCTTTTTTAAAAAATGTAACAAGCTGAGTATAGTGGTACAAGCCTTTAATCCTGGCAGTCGGAAGCAATAGCAGGGGGATCTCTGTGAGTTCAGCCCAGCCTGGTCTACCCAGGGTTATATAGTGAGACCCTGTCTTTTAAAAAATAGTTTTTAAAAAGGACCTTAAATCACAAATAGTTTGTAACATTATGCATAATGACAAAATACAGAAACAAATATCCATCACAAGATAAACATATATAGAATATGAACCATCCAGACAATGGAACACTATTTTGAAATAAGACAAAACTATTAACCTGCCTGTAGCATAGATAAACAGAAAACATGTTAAATAAAAGAAGGCAGGCACAAAAACCACATACCTCATGATTACACTTACATGAAATGTACAAGGACTAGGAAGCTGGTGACAGGCAAAGCACTTGCCTAGCTAGCCTTGGATTTAATCCCTAGCACCACTGATGGAGGGGAGGGGTTGAACTGCAAGTCTGAGTCAGCCTGGGCCATATACTGTGGAAAGAACTGGGGGAGGTAGGGAGGGAGGGAGGGAGGGAAGGAGGGAGGGAAGGAGGGAGGGAGGGAAGGAGGGAAGGAAAATAAACAGAAAAATACAGCAGGCAAATATACAGTTGGAGAGTAGATTAGTTTTACCAAGGGGAGTGGTTTAGTGGGTCAGAGGAAGGTGCTATGAGGCACGGCATCTAATGAATTTAGTTTTCTTTGTGAGGTTGGGAAATGTTCTAAAATTGTGGTAATGGTTGCACAAGTTTGTGAATTCACTAAACCCTACTTAACCATACTACTTTAAAGATTCAATTGTATAATATGTAAATTAGATCTCAATAGAGCCTTTATGCATACATCATTTTAAATTATATATTAAAAATTCTAACTGCCATTGGCAAATCTGCAAAAACACAGATAACCTACAGAAGCTTCTTTTTACCATTCTTTTTCCCTGGCTAATGCATAAGAGGTCACCAAAGACAGAAATTGTAGTTTTTGTTAACAATTCAATTGTAAATGATATAGAAAGCTAAATTAGATAGTAATCTATTAGTTATTAACAATATAACACCTATCATATATTTAGGTTTCAGCTGGAGCTCAGCCTGCACTTAAGGTAATCACAATGTTTGATGGTTTGAATGAGAAAGGTTCCCCATAGCCTGATGTATTTTAACACTTGGCTCTAGTTGGTGGTGCTGTTTGTGGACGTTTAGAAGGTGTGGCCTTGCTGGAGGAAGCAGTAGTCAGTGGAGGTGGGCTTGTAGAGCTCACAGTCACTCAAGTCCTAGTTCCAGTTTCTCTCTCTCCTTCCTGTGAGCTCTCAGGTGTGTCTGCTCCAGCTGCCTCCTTCCAAGCCTCCCCACCATGATGAACTCTTATTTATCCATCTGGAACCATAAGCCCAATAAATTCTTCCTTCTATAAGCTGCCTCGGTCATGGTGCTTTATCATTGCCACAGAACAATAACTAATACACACCAGAAGCAGCATATTCTATGTAGCAAGTAGAGATGCACGACATTTAAATAGAAAAACTTTTCTTTTTTTTTTTGGTCTTTTTGAAACAGGGTCTCCCTGTAGCCCCAGCTGGCCTGGAACTCACTAGGTAGGCCAGGCTGGCTTTGAACTCACAGAGATCTGCCTGCCTCTGCCTCCCAAGTACTGGGACTAAAGGTGTGCACCACCATGTCTAGAAAAACTTTTGAAAAAAAGCAACTGAAAGCCAGGTGCGGTGGCACACCCCTTTAATCCCAGCACTTAGGAGGTAGAAGCAGGCAGATCTCCATGAGTTTAAGGGCAGCCTGGTCTACACAGTGAGTTCCAGAAGAGCTGGGGCTACAGGAAGACTGTCTCAACAAAGACCAAAAATTAAATAAATATAAATAAATAGATAAATAAATAAATAATATAAAAAAGCAACAGAAAAGGAAATCTTGCTATGCAGATTAAGCAGCCTTCCCACCCGAAACCCTTCTGCCTCCACTCCTTAGCGCTGGGATCACAGGAGTGCACCATCATGCCAGGTCAGGAACTTAAATTTTAAATCCCTCCAAACTCTCACATAAAACCAAAGAGAATTAAGTAGCCAAATCACAACTCCAAGCAAAAAGTCCCCTAATATATGAAGACATGAACAATCAAATCAATCCATCAACAGCTAAAACGGTATGGTGGGTACTAGTGTCTGTAGAAAAGAGAACGGTTAAAAGGGCAACTGCCAAGCTGACAGAACAGAAGACCCCCCAAGTAACTGACAGAGCACACAGGCAAAACTGAGAGAATACATGAAAAGGAACAGGTTTTGCCCATGTATAATTACAAGAGTGTCAGGGTCCACAGTAAATCCTTAGAGTGAAGCTGCAGGGGCAGGACCTAATCTGAGGGAAAAACAGAGAAGAAAAGAAAGAGAAACTCCAGATAAAATGGGGGAGATCACAGTAAAGAACCCTACAGAGCTAGCTGACAAAGTTGCATATCATATAATCCCTACAGAGCTAGCTGACATAGTTAAACATCATGTAAAACCAGAAGGACCCTTGTGTATTTGTTT